TAATAATATGTATCTTCTTTGTCCAGTACAATTGAGCAGTGTTCACAAGGGAAATAAATGGCACTGCCATTCACAACAAGCAGTACTGCCTTTTGAAATAAGCCCAAAACAAAGAATATAGATTTCCAAAACTGCTTTTTATGGCTAACCCTCAAACTGGTGATTTGCACAGCTTAATTGGAATCTAGAATTTATTGAACAGGAGTAGGAATAGGTTGATTCTAAAAATATAACAATGTGTAGGCTATATATTGTTCAGTCAATCCCCAAACCCACTCCTATAACCATTTTATTGTGTTTGAAGTTAGCAATTACGAAAAAGCCCCCCAAAAACACTACCCACAACTCTCAAAGAATTAAAGCAACTTTTAAGAAAAACAAGACCAATTCCACGTATTAAAAGCAGACTTGGCAACACTGCATTTGAGGCTTTTGCCCAACACCAAGGATCTTCTGGGTGGCAGGGATATGATAGACACAGTAGTGGCCGATCCTGTATTTATACTGAGAAACTGCTGTGGTGTGAACTAGTTTAAGTTGATGTAATTTTATTATCAATTTTATTTGTCATAAAACATCATAATTAAGGAAGGGATTTTTTTATTTTAACATCATATATTATTAACTAATATTCACCCAGTGAACTATAATACCATAGTTTATAGTTTCCTCAGAGCAGGTGGTATTTGGTAGAAAAATCATAGATTTGCATACGGACCAAAAATTACAAATAAACATGCAAAACAATCTTCTCTGACTTCATAAGAAAATATTAACCATGATTTGACACAAATTTTCTAAGCTCTCAAATATTGTTTCTGGTAGGGCCAACTCAAGACTTTATAATAGTTGAGGCAAAACTGAATTTTCCAACCCCCAGATTAATTGATAAAGATGAGAAATAAAGGGCAATTCAAACTCTCTTGGTATTACTTAAAGATGTTCAGAAAACCTCTGTTGAATATTTCTGAAGAATTTTGAGATGCTGGATGACAATTGATAAAATCTAAAGAGAACTGTAACATGTGGACTGTTCTATTGAAGTTATACTTCTTAGATTTTATATTTTTTCTGTACTAAGAAATTTTTAATTTTGGAATTTCTCTATACAAATCTGGTATTTTCCTCAAAGTTGAAAGGAATATTCAAATCATTTTGTTAGGATACTTAATGTACCATACAGTTACATTATGTTGTCATCCTTTCATAACTATATATTGTAATGTTTAAATGTCTTCAGTGATGTTCTGCTAAGCTTCCTCATAAAGTAGCAGCTCAAGATTTTAATCAAAATTTTTCACTAAACTAACTGTATCTGTTAAAAGTTGTTTATACCTGCTGGGACAAATCTGGTCAACATATGATTGGCACATGCTAAAGTAACAAGAAATCCATGAAATGATAGACATTCCTTAGCAAAGAAAACAGAGGTACAATGGTTGGGGTTTCCTATTGGCTAGGAATCAAGCCTGGCTGACCAGACCAAACAGAACTGTTGACAGCATAGATCTTACTGACTGCAAATATTGCCACCTTCCAGAGTTACATCCTGCCATACTGGGCAAATGCCTAAGCCTAAAGTTTGCCTTGGTTTCTGGTATTCTCTAGTTTTCACATTTACCCATGAACTTAAACATGTGTCAAGCATAAATTCTCACATACAGAAAATATGTAAAACACATCCAATTACCTAACTGATGGTTATAATAAGCTATTAATGAATGATCCTGAGTCACACCAGACTTTAAAAATTACACCATTCAAATGGTAAACTGAAAAACAGAAGTTTTCTTACACTTTTTTCATTTGACATTATTTTAAAATGTCTTATTCACTTGGTCAAAAGAAATATTGTTCATTTAATATGACTTAATATTCTGACTTGATGTTTGAAAACAACACATCCAAAACATAACAACTCCAGCAACCCAAATCATAAAATCACATTATACCTTTCTCTTTCATTTGTTCACTAAAGCAAGTAAACATTAATTATAACATTCCATCACAACATAATTTTCAAACTGAAAATAGCTGAACAAGGAAACAACATATAAATGTATTCTAGAACCCAAGAATACCCACATTCATGAATTATTCCTTTTTGAGATCACATGTAAAAAAATGAATCATCATGAAATTAAAAATAAAGTTACAGCAAACTGTTTTTGAAAACTAGGTAACCAGTATCAAATAATAGAAGTGTAAGAAAACTTTTAATTTCTAAAACAGAACATAAAAATGTAAAAAATATGCTGATAATAAATCCAACAATAATTACGTAAATAATAATTATTTTCAAAATAAATTGTTTCATTGTTACTTGCATAAAGTTATATTAAGTAACAAATAAAAATGTTATAAAAAATATAAAATGATTGTTTTAATTAACACAACAATTTTTTTTAAATCATAAAATTATTTCTTTGTGACAGATCAGCTAAAAATTGACCTACAGAGTAAATACTTGTTGCATGCATTTACACACAAAATTAATGAAATTTCTATCAATTATGCAAAAACAACAAATGATGTATGTCGCATAAATTACAAGTAGAATGTTTATTAATCCTAAAGCAGCAGCAGCTCTTTGTTCAGTAGTAACATGTATGCATAGCTTACTGATTACATACTAATGGTAAATGTTCAATGACTAGTGCATTGAAAGCAAACTGCCTACCCACTATAAAGCAGCATCTTTGTTTAGTATTAAACTGTGTACAACTCTTAATTAGTTACCAGAAGCAAATGTTGGTTGACTAATACAGTTAAAGCACAATGCTTACTGATCCTAAATCAATAGAAAACCTACAGTGACTAGTATGGTTTACTGATCATTTACAAGCAGCAAATCTTTACTCACTAATAACACTTACTGATTACAAACAAGCAGTAAATGTTAAATGACTAGTAACACTTACGGTTATAAATCAGCTGAAAATTTATTATAAACGAGCAGCAAATGTTTAATGACTAGTGACTCACTGATTATAAAGCAGCAAATCTTTACTGACTTGTGACACTTACCAATTGTGATTAAGCAGCAATTCTTTAGTGACTTGTAACACTGACAAATTATAAACAAGCAGCAAATCCTTACTGTCTAGTAACACTTATTATAAAGCAGCAGTAAATCTTTACAGACTAGTAACAACCAGTGCAGTGTTTGAACAGTAGCTTGTAAATACTGTCTGATAAGCTGTTACCAGTAATCATTTACTTGAATATCTCAATTACAAAACAACAAAGAATAAGTACTGGTCAACTCCCTACTTGTAACATATCATCTTACTGAAATCAATTTGTGCATCAGCATATTACTTGGATCAGAAGTAAAGACTTTTCTTAATGCATATATCTTGGGACTTAAGAACTTATAACCTTGTTAAACAAACTGTGCTTATTTTTTTCAGAGCTGGATCTGCTTAAAATTATTATATCAAGTTTTAATTAATATTTTTACTGTACTAAATGCAAAATTTAATTCAGAAAACAGCTAAAAAATTTCATCAAAATACTGTTCTCAACCATCAGGAGGAAATTTCAAAACATGACATACAAGTTTATGTCAATTCAACAAAGATTCTTGCATTCAATTGCAATGTTTATATCTTTAACATCAAGTTCATCAACATGTATGCTTTCAACAATCCAACAAGCATAAAAGTTGGAAAACCAACAAACTTTCTATAATGAATTCCATATCACCAGGCAAAAAATCACAGCATTCTAGTTCACCTAAAACACACTTTCATGTGTTTTAGAGAAATGCAATATATCACACAATCTTTTTTTTTTCTGCAAGGGACAAACTTATCATATAATTAAAAATTAGAAATTAAAATATTAATGATATTAATATGAAAAAATAAACATTAATTCAGCTAAAACTGGAATAGTTAAAAATAAAATAATATACACTTGAAATACTGGGATCCTTCTATAATTTTTATGAATGATATACATATTAATGTAGAAAATGATATACTGTACAGACTAAAAACAAACCTAAAAGTCTTTCAGTGCCTTAATAGTGAGAGGTGAAGTGATAATTGAAGTGATTAAAAGCAATGAATGTTGAATAAAAGGATGGGATGCAGACATTACAAATGTACTTTGAGCAACATAGATTTGTTAATAGTATCATAGCAACATGATTAATGTCAGGAAGTAGCCAATTATAATGAAATTAAGCCTTTTTACGTCACAATCATACAGCTACAATAATTTTTGTAGAAATCTAGTTTCTGAGAAATTTCTTGGTATAATTTATTATGTGGAATGTATATATAATGAACAATCTTGCCAATAACTTTACTGGAATGATTTTAAGATAATTAGAACCAAAACACTCAAACTTTTGAATATTATACAAAATACAATAAGTAATAGCCTTGATCAAATTATGTTACTTCTTATACTAAAAAACAAAAACAAAAATTAATATTCTAGCACTTGAAAGAAAACAACAAAAAAACTATCTTGGATAGACTTGTAAATTTGATCTGACTAAGATTTTTGTCGTAATATATAATTTTTAAATGCTCTCATGTTTTTAACTACATTGATAAGACTCAGAGTCATTAGATGTTAAGAGGTGATCAAACATAATTTAGCCATTTTAAAATTAGTCACACATATGATTAACAACTTATGAAATATGATAAACGAGTATATATATAAATACACATACATTGATACCTTCTGTTATGTAAAAACATATAGCACAACCTTTAATAGATATATTATTAGAAAAGATTCCTATAAACTGCTGAAAAAGAAACATTGTTTTTACTAATGAAAACACATATACTTTCAAGTTATTAATATCTCTGTTATGACATAATAATTTTCAACATTTGATATTCAGTATCTAACTTTCCTAACCTACAGAATTTTATTGAAAATTAAAAAATTATTCTTTCAAGATATTGTCAAAAATAAATCAAAGTAAAATTTTTTATAAAAACACAGCATAACGGTTAAAAAGATGATTTATTACAAAAATAAACATTTTTTTTTTCAGTACTAGTATATGCTTTCATAGATTTCATCTACTAAACAAAATAATAATAATATTACTGAAGTTACTAACCAAATAATTATATCCCTTAATCATATCTAAAGTCAGCTTATTGCTTGTACCATCACAGAATTATGCCACTAGGCTACATATACAGGGGACAGGTGTAGTAACAACAACGATAATGTGAAATATCTAAATGTGAGCTTTTAATGAAGTAGCTCACGGAAGACGGAATAAAGAATAGTAAGAAACTTACATGATGTTTTTCACTGTTTAGGTAGAAACACATTTCTGATATTCAAATACTTGTTCTTAGAATAATATGAGCTAATCTTTGATTGAATTTGAGTACTAGTGGATTCAAACCAATTGTTGGCAATACAACAAAAATCACTAGTCTCTTATTATTTTGATCACTGATTCTTTTTACATCAAGTCAATGATTACTATAAGTGATTCCACCTTATTGTTACTGAAAACATCTCATCAGCATGTCTCCTCATGATGTTAAGAGCTAACTTTTTCACATTCGATGATTTAAGTATGACTGTGAATGTTGGCTTGGTCCTGGTTGTAGTCTTCTATGACCAGGTTGAGACCATCTTCTCTGCTGTTTCTCATGGTGATGACTTCTTTTTTCTCTCTCATAATTTTGATTTCTTTGGTCTCTATGACCTTGAGATGGTCTGGAATGAGAACAGGATGCAATAGTGACGTAAGGTGGAGGAGGATCATCATAGCCATCTCTATAAAGCATCCTATCTGCTCTAACTTGGAGCTCCATACTATTTTGAAACTGTTCTAATGTAGGTCTGTGTCTCTGAAAATGGTATAAATGGAAAAAATAGATGAGTGATATCCACAAATAGTCAGATATAAAATAAACAAACTTATCTGTACATCCATCCGAAATCATAAAATTAAAATGTAATCCTTTTACATGCCCTATACACTCAATTAAGATATAGTTTAAGCCAAGACCAAATCACCTCAATTACTTGCAAAACCTAACTAAAAAATTTAAGCATAAAATACATATAAAAGTTAAATGAAATTATTAACTAATTTTGAAACCTAAAATTCTTTTTACCCGCTTGACTGCAGCTGCTTTAAACTCATCCAAAATATTTGCAAGCCATACACTGTATACAGCACACTCGCATTCAACTGCCTGAGGCAGTCCATACCCTATATGGTGAATCAGCAATCAATGGGTTTATAATGTGGAATAAACATTTATTTTACATCAAAATATATTTTATTTAAAATAAGTCTTCTTACAAGTTTCTGAACAATAGTTTTACAAAACTTACAATTTACTGATTATAATAGAAATGTTCAGTTTTTCAGTTCTTGTACATTTATCTCTAAATTATCACACTAAAATTCTAAAGTTAGAGTGAAGTTACTAAAAATGAATGACCTTTTAACTGATAATGTACTAGTTTAAGTCAGTGATTTTTCCTAGCTCTAGTCGTCATTTTTCAATTTTATATTACTTGTTTCTTCCTCATTTCAGTTTTCCAGATTTCTTATGAAGGTTCTACCTGTGCTATGCCTATATTGCTGATTTTATCAAAGGTTTAAGTAAAATACACATTAATGTTGAAAAAAAGAAAGGTTACCATTCTTCTAAGTGTATAAGAAGGTCTACGGAGTGTGTCTGTAATTCGAATTGCTGGTGGTTTCCTTGGATTACTGCTTGGCGTATGTACAGCACAGCATTTGATAAATAAACCCATGAAAATGGCTGCTCCAATTACCATTAACATAACTGCCCACCAATAAATCTATAAATAAAAATAAACAATTGAATATGTTTCTTACAAAAATAAACAAAGTTTTCTATAATGAAATATTAAAAAAAAACAGAAACAAACACTTGAAGGTGCATTAACACATGTATATATCATAAATATCTGAGTAGAATATACTGAAGTAACATGGTACATACATCACAGAAACAAGTTGCTATAAAAGAGAATGAACAGAATTTATTTTATTATAAGTTATAGCATTTACATTAAGGAAGAATATTTCTAAAACAGGACATTTCAGTCACTAGTGTGATCATTCTTGAGTACACAAGTTTTAACACAAAAGAACAGTTTGTTTTTTCCCCTTTTTATTCAGTGGTGAATTAAACTACAACTTTAAAACATCTCAATAATAGATCTAACTAAAATGCTGAAGAGACTCAGAGGTACCTAACAGTAAAACATCCAGATGATGGTAGGAAGACATACAGCAATGTGGCAGTTCAACTCCAGTCCAGAATCAGGCACTAATGGGAATGAATCGTTCAGTCCACAGTAGAAGGAGGTTACCTGGGCCACTCATATGTGAGGACTTATTGGCTGGTCCAGCTCCAACCAATATCAGTACCCACCAGGAACCAACATCCAGGTGATGATAGGAAGGAGGATGCCCAACCAGAAGGGTGAACAGCATTGTGGTAGAAATGTTCCAGTCCATAACCTGGCAGAATCTGAATAGTACATCAGGTCCATGGTAGGAGGAGTGCCTATGCATCATCTACACTGGAAAAAGAACATTGCTTTACTCCCAACCAAATGGAATTGAGCACACTTAGGAGGAAGTCTCCATGGTCCACTACCCAAGCAGCTAAGAGCTGGATAGTGGTAAGGACTACTGTTCTCCACTGGAAGAAGTGCATTAGAGAGTCTGGAGAAATGCAACACCAGATACAGTGTAATGGGTAACCACAAAACCTTATTTTGAAAAGCAGACTATTCCAGATACAGCCAAACAAAGGAGTAGAAGGGATGGGCAACAATCCCCTTCTGCTTTACTCATGTTAGTCCATAAGTGTATCATCTGGGGAGAACATATTTATGATGCAAAACACCATGAGGAAAAATAAGAATAAGAAGAATAAGCTGGCGAATCCAATCTGCAAGAAAAGGGAAGGATTCCAATGAATGAAAAAAGGGGAACAGGAACCACAGAGGGAAGCAGTGCAAGCCACGTAACAGCAAAAAGCCCAGACAAGACATAAAAGGTGATCCAGATCAGAATGAAAATAAAGATGAGAAATGGAAGGGAGGCAAATGGGAGTGAAGGCAGAATTGCCCTCACGTGCAGCCAATATTTTGGGGAGGAAAGACCAATCTGGGTAGAAGATGACAATGTGTGAGAGACATCAAGAGCAAACAAATCCAAATATCGCCATCCTCATGCCAATAGGAGAACGAGAAAGGTCTTTAAGGAGAGATGATATTAGGAATAGAATGACATGGGATCAAAGGGGAGGAAGTGTGAGGGTATGAAGGACAACAATGAGGTTCCAATCAGGGAGGATGGTAGAAAGCAAGGGACAGTGAGGGAAGAAGAAACAAAACAATAGGATAATAACCAGAAAAATGAAGACATAGCAAAATCTTAAGAAACAAAAAGTGGCTGACAAAGCTGTGAGATAACCAGCAATGGTGGATACTGAAAGCCAGGTAAGGAAAGAAGTCAGGTGCAGGAGAGTAGGATAGGACAGAAGAAGGCTGAGAGAATAAGACCAGTAGACACACCACCTGCGTTGGTAAACTGACATGGAGAAAGGGCAAACAGAATGGGAAACCAGAGAAGCAGCCTGTGATGAAAGTCTGGCCCATCTGTCAAGGGACCAGATAAAAGCCACGCATGAAGACAGAGCACTGGAAGGGAAAGATGTAGCATGCCTGAGGTGGGTGAGAGGGATAGAGGAAGAGGAAGTGTCAGTAGGAGTGGGCACAGAAGTGGAAACCACAGCTATGCTGGGCAAAGTGGAGCCACCAAGAGGACGCTATGCAGAGTGGCTTGTAAGATTGAGAGGACACAAGGAAGAAGATGGATGGGTGGACATGAATAGAAGTAACAGCCCCCCCCCCCAATCCTGACTGAGGGCATCAACAGTTACAGCCAATGGATGTGGAATTGGGGACCAAAACCTGAGAAGCTTGGAATTAAAGTGGGTAGCAAATGCAGTTCAAGAGTATCCCACTGGGAACACATGTGGGTCAAGGGACCACTTCTTGGGGAGAATCTTGTTGGCACACGATAAGTGATCCGTAACCAGATTCAGTGCACCCAGCATATGACATACCAACGGGAACAGATTCAGGAAGAGGTTGAGACAAATGTGAAGCCAATGAAGAAAGGCAAGGAGTGCAAATGTGCAGACTCGACTCTGGTCTCTAATAAGTCAAGAAGAACCCCAAAGACATTTTGCCTTTAAAAGGGAGCAATACGCAAGTCCTGCATGGAGATTTGGGGTAAACATACATGGGACAAAAGGGCATCTCGACCCAAGAGTAGCTATGTTTGGAGGGAAAGGGTGGAAGAGGACAATCGTGCAATCATGGAAAAAAATCAATGCACGAGTCTTCACCCTCAGGAGAACAATGAAGAGCATTAAACAGAATGTGAATGAAGGAAATAGAATTAAAGAGGAAAGATAAGGTGAGGCAGATATGGAAAATGTGAGGTTGGGAAAACATTACCAAAGTATTTGGATCTGAACTCCACAGAGGCAGAAGAGAATCCAGCTGCTGGGAGTTCAAAAAAGAAATGCAGACCTATGGTAAGCCATAGCATGGGCTTCCATATTATGTGGGGGTCAAGGCATACTGTAAAGGAAAGTGTGTACAAAAAACACGTCTTAACACAACAAGTGCCAGTAGAAAAGTGGTTTTGGGCTAAGCTAAATGGAGGAAGTCAGCTGTGCTGGGAGTTGTGTGATGCTACTAATGGTGGAGGATTGTTGCATGCTCATTTGCATGCTATTGCACAACTGTCTCACATAAAAACATGTAGGTGATAGTATCATGGCTAGTGGGAAGCGAAAATTCGCACATTAGAGGGAAATACTAGTCAGGAAAAGCCATTCTGTGTGAAGAGGTAAGATATTGTATCAGAACTGAAAATTCTGTTCATCACAACCTTTTTCATGTTTTCCCAGTTGGTCAACATGGATGGTATCTTTGGTCATTTGTTTGGTACTTTTCCAAATAGCTAGACACAAAGTTTGGTACAAGGATGAAAAAATGCAGCTTTGCAGGAAGGAACAGATTGTCACACACCTCTTTTTGACCAAGGCAAAGGTTTGCATCTTGGAGTGGTGAAACTCTTGTCACTTTCAACTTTTTTCACAAAAGTGATAACATGAGGCAGTACATCCAAGGCTCTTGTTACCACAGGAATGTTCTCTACCCATTGGTGGGCAAAAAACTTAAGTGGGATCATAGATATGTCTGTTTTGAACACAAAATCATCACATCAAACAGGTGTATTCTTTAAGTCTGTAGAAGGCTTGTAATGTGCTTTCCAGGTCCCAACTGGAGGTACTAAGTGCAGCTTGGAAGGTGTGTATATTGTGTAAAGTACATGATCCAATGTCCACAAGCCCTTTATCTGTAGCTTCAAACAGGGCACTAGATGTGAATTTTAGATGGAAATTGCAGTTGATATTTGGTCCACCTGGAGCAGGTTTTTCAAGTTAAAATTTTCTTTCAACACATTGAGATGGAGAGACACCCTGCTGTTGTGCCATGGCCCATGAAAGCTAAATCCACATAACACGTAGTCACGTTGTTTGTGAGACAGTCTGGGAATTGAATGTGCAAATCTCTTTGCTTTAGCTGCCATTTCATGATTAAAGTCTCATCAAACATTAGGACATAACTGTCATTTTTACGTATAGTGTCCAACACAAGGAGATGAAATAAGGGGCAAGACCACGATTAACCATGTATAATGTTCTCTTCTCACAGGCATAAAAGCAAGCAACCATACTATCAGAAAACAATAGTTGGAAAGGTTTAGAATTATCCTCTAAACTTTTGTAGTAGTAGTTGGAGGTGATGTTTTTCAGTGTCCACAATATTTCTGCTTGCTATTCGTTGTCCATGATGCAGTGCCTTTTCGCTTAAGAAGTAGACAATTGATTCTTCAAGGAAGTGGTGGGGAGAGAACTTCATTGGTATATTTCATTAATTAAAATGCACACACACACACACATACAAACACTTATGCTAATCCAAGAAAACATATTTTCTATTTCTATTGTATCAAAGCATTGAGTAAATATAAAACATGAACTGGTCCAGACTTTTAAAAAATAATACAAACTGTAGTCTAAACTTAGGTCTTGGTACACTATGTTGCTAGTCCTGATTCTTTTTATTAGGTGGGAAAAAAAACTGATGTCTAGTTTTTTAGGTTAAGGGGAATACTTTCAATCATTAGAAAGAGGTGAGGCTTTTATCTATTTGTTTTTAAATTCACTATAACCGTAAAACATAATTTACATATGGATTACTTCTAAATAAAAGAACACAACTTAAGATCATATGCACAATCAAAGGCAGATGAATAATAATAAAAAGTTTTTTATATTACCAAAACAAAATCTCAGACTCAAACATTCAGTTGTTATATTGTATATTACTGAAGTTTCTTGTTTTTTTATTTTTTTAATTTAGCAAAACATAGGAGGAAAAAAAGTACTAGGTAACACAGCATAATAATAAATCACTCTTGATTTCTGTCAAGTGCACACTGTTATAAATACAGTGCTTATGAGTTATGTTAATGATGACAGACCAAGTAAAGTACATTTTACTAAAAGCCACTAATCAATATTTACTTCAACCAGACCTTTGACTTTATTCTCAGAATACAGATAATGCATCCTGTACATTATCAAAATCTACCAAGGCTAAAGATAAAAATCTCTCAATGTGTGTGTGTGTGTGTGCGTGTATATATATATATATATATATATATATATATAGAAACA